AACAATTTATTATTAAATATTTAATGATTTTTTTCTTTAGGTTTTCTCAATACCATAGTATTTATGCAAGATATCGCGGTTTCCAGAGCTTATAAATTAACGAAATTAAACTGGTGGTATAATCACGTTAATAAATACGAAGAGTTATATCCTCATTTATCACGCAATAAAGCGTTTGATCCATTAGAATCGGTTGATCGGGTTGATCATGAATTAAAAGATGAACAGCAGAAAGAAAGTCAGCAACCTTCCCTTGCCGAAAAATTACGATATAATTTGTTAACCTTATTATTTAGTAAACCAAAAGGAGATGAAGAGTTGATTGAATACGATCAATATGTGACGACAAAAGATGAAGAAGAAACGGATTTCACACACTCAATGGCTGAAAAATCTGGTAGTGATACAACAACTGTAAATGATGACGATTATTCGCTGGAAGAATTTAATAAAACTGTATTATGCAAATTGTAAGATATTAAGTAATTTTATATAAATAATAAACAAAATATTTATGATTCTTTTTTTTTTATAAAAGTAAACTGATTTTTGTCGTAAAATGGTTTTCGTCATGGTTGTGTAAATGAGTGAGTTCCAAGTAACTAAAATATTTATTATTATTTAGAGGATCTAGATTTGCTCAAACCGAGTTGAATCTGATTCTACAACTACTTTGAGTTACTGAAAATTAATTATGTACACTCTATACATATACAAATAATGATAATAACAATAAGGGTACCCGTGAATACGTTATCAGATGAACTAAAAACCGGAATGGGCAGGTAATATGGCAATCCTGCTTCGCATTAAAAAATACTCTTATTTTTTTGCACTTGGTAAATCCTGCCTGACTTCATTGAAATCATTTCTGATATTTTATATGTAAAATGTTCTTTATCAGAATCCCACCAAGATTGATATGAAGTAATATTGTTCATGCATATTTTACTGGCCTTTCTATTTATTTAATTTGGTTCTGTAATACCGGTTACGTATAAATTGTCAGTTATATTTAATATTAGGATTTATTCTGATTAGTGTTTAACTACACCTTGACACTATTTTTGTATTGGTTTTCAAACAGGTTAGAATTTTATTTATTTTTCATTCATTCGTTTTAACTCTTTGATTTCTGAAATAAGGGATTCATTACTTGGTTCATCTTTTTCGTGTATATTTGATACAGAAAGAATATTTTCCTTTTTTTTTTTGTGTGTGTTTGTTAACTTTAGATGGGTTACTTTGAACTTTATGTTCGTTCAGTTGTTTTAAGTTGAGTTGCTGTATTTGATAAATTCGTACTAACCTTAGTTTCTAGCGCTTTTACTTTTTTTTTGCCTCCTTTATATCTAATGTTATTTTTTTTTTTAATAATTTTTTGTTTAACAATTTTTGGAAAATTTATCCAATGATCACTATTACAGTCTAAGCTCTCTATACCGAACCTCTCTGTAATGAACAAAAGCTGAAAATTTACATACAAGGGACAGGGGGTTCGGCATAGAGGGCTTAGACTGTACTGTTTAAAATAAATAACAAGCCTACAACTGACAAAAAAAAATGACATCATTCAAGCCAAAACAATAGTCTATTTTATTAAATTCGAAACATATAAATAGGACAGCCGTCTCTACATTTTTTTTTCGTAACAGAAACGTAGAGACATTCCTCTCAGGCAATTTCGGCACATGTAACTGAAGAGCCAACCAAGGAAATTGTTTGGTCACAACCAAAGAAATACGAATTACAATGTTGAAATAGATAATTACTTGAATGAAATGATAACTCCAATTCAACCTGAAAGAGTTGATGTTTATCAATGGTGGAAGAACAATCCGAACTCTTTTCTCATTCTTAGCAGAATTGCATGCAAATACTTATCAATCCCTGCCACCTCTGTTCCATGTAAACATCTTTTTTTTGATGCAAGAAAATTTGGTTACCTCTAAAAGAACATGTTTAGGCATGAAGTAATGAATCAGTTATTGTTTTTAAAAAGAAATAATTTATATTGTAAAGTTTGGACTAATAAATAAAAATTATTTTTATTGTGTATGTAATATTAAGCCCATATATAAAAAAGGATCCGTCAACCAACCAGTTGACCCGTAGATTTGACTGATTATGATGGGTGATCCGGGTAAGGTTTTTTGACGGGTCTAATCTAGATGTTAGAAATCTATTTTCGATTCATTCATTATGTCGTGATTTTTTGTAACCTATCTGATTGTTTTAATATTAAAAAATTCTTGTTTCAACAGGATTTACGTGATGTTAATATTAATATACCATTACTACTGATACAGGTTTATATTTTTTCCAAATTTAAAAAAAAATCAATATATGCATTACTATATATATTAACTATATGAATTAATTTCCGGATTTGTTGGATCATCCAAAATGCAAATATAGCTAATACAAATTAGGGTCTTGGTAAATGGAATAAATCACGTATGCAAACAGGATTTTTTTTTTTAATGGTTTTACTTATTATAGTAATGATCGCACACAATGCAATACATTAAAGTAGCTGTTTGCGAACCTAAATACTGAATTTGAATTTCCTAGAGCAAGATTTTCACATATGTTTACTTTGAGTGGTATTACAGTGAATCTTTCTTTCAATAAGAAATGTATTTATACAAGTGGAATTTACTGACAAAATTTATTTTAAGGAATCATGATGATTATTTAAAAATAATTACCACCACAAACAAACTTAAACCAATCGATTAGAAATGATAAGAGAATCATTTATTGGAACCAGAATTAAAATTAAAATGTTAAGGAGAAAGCAAACAAAACCGATCTAGGTAAATATTTCCTGTTCTTTACTTGTCTCTATTTTTATTCTAACGGATTTTTAATCCGCAGATCTATAGGGGGTTGTAAAACCTAGTAAAATTTGGATGAGTAATTCGAATTTACATAGTATTGAATTCCTTCACACCCTCGTTTGATACCCTTGCTGTGTAGCAACCACCAAATTTGAAATATAACTTTTTTGTCATATGTATCTGCTTTATGAAAATTTTTAAAGCAGGTTGTTAATAAAACCGAAAATAATCTGACCCTCAATATATGTAAAAATTTGTTTGACGCGTCCAATTGCAAATATAAATGTTCAAATATTACATTATTATGAATATTTACAGATTTTTGATCATTTAGATATGTCTTTCATAGTAAAATAAGTTATTTTAAAAGTAAATTTATCTCAGACTTTATTCATTATTTATTTATCATAGTGATGTTATAAATATAAGTTAAAATAAAAGAGAAATTTATACACATAAATAAATAATAAATATAAATGTTGATAAATGTTCGTTAGAATATTTTGCAAGCTTCCTTAACGCTTATACATACTATTGAATAATTGATAAAACCTTCGTTATTATATTTTGTTCATATATCTTGTCCTTAAAGCTTACTTCGATTATTCCTACACAAACTATTGAATAATTGATAAGACGTTCGTTAGTATATTTTGTTCATAGGTTTTGTCCTTAAAACTTGCTTCGATTACTCCTACACAAAATATTGAATAATTGATAAGACGTTCGTTAGTATATTTTGTTCATAGATCTTGTCCTTAGTATTTGTAGGAATTATTCGGACATTACCTGAATATCATGAATATCATGAATATCATAGTTAATCTTACCAAAAAAGGAAAATAATATAATAATAAATAAAAAGGGTTTTTTTTACTTTTAACATTAATACTATATTGTATGCACGTGTGTTTGTTTATTTTTTATATTTAAGGAAACTAAGGAAATTGTTTATTCATCCATCCCACTCTATTTTGTTAAGAATCTATGCGTTTGTTATTTTGATTAATATTGAAAAATTAGCATTTTTAAAATGAAATTCATGAGAAATTAATGTATTCAGTTAAATGTTTAAATATTTTATTGAATATTTATTTGTATCATATTTTTTTATGATATTCATAATATTAGACATGAAATACAAAAACTAGGTTTAAGTGGCCCCACACCATAATTTCCACAAACTTAAAAAAAAATTTCTTCAAAATATTTCGGGATTTGTTGGATGCAAGAGCATTGGGCGTGCATATAAGTAACACTAAACTAATTTAGTCAAGTGTATCAATTAGGGTACACACTCAGCCCTTGGTAAACGAAAGACAATGTAATAAAACATGCATCAATCACATCCAATCGCGCCATGCATGCAAATGTTTTTTTTTAATGTTTTACCATCTGCTTACTTATCATAGTAATGATCGCGTACAATGAGATTTTTTAATATGTTAGAGTAACCTGTTTATGCGAACCTAAATACTGGATTTGAATTCCTAAAGCAAAGTTTTCTACATATGTTTGTTTACTCTTTAGATGGTATCACAGTAATTCATTCAACGTTTTAAGAAATATAGTTTGTGCCAAGTAGAATTTGCTGACAAATTTAAAAGTAACTATCATCACAAACAAACTTGAACCAATCAGTTGAGAATGATAAGGGAATCGCCTATTGGAATAGGGATTAAAATCAAAACGTTAGGAAGCAAACAGCAAAACCGATCTAAATAAATACCTCCAGTTTTTTACTTTGTCCCATTTTTATTTTAACGGATTTTTGATCTAATAAAGTAATTTTTTTTTTTTACTTTTCAATATTTTAAATAAACAACCAATAACATTGTCTTTTCCTCCTCCTCTTCCTCCTCCTCCTCACTCATCCTCTTCTTTTCTTATTAATTAGGCTATAGAAAATGTCGGATCCAGTATCAAATAACACAGAAGCTGTTACATTTGCGGTAACTGATGAACAAGGGAAGATGGTTCTTCTGCTCATATTCATTCAAGCTACAGCATCATTGATTGCAACTGCCTTCGGAATTTCAATATTTTTTTCTATAAGATATAAATACCCCCGATTAGTCAACAGAGTTACGTTTCGACTTGCTCTTGCTACAATGATCTCAGACTTTGGTGGTAGTGTAATCCA